TCTTCCAGATATACTATTAAGCATAAGCATTCATATAATAAAATCAAATTACATTCTTACTTACATGAGGGGCTTCTTATGTATTCTTAAATTATAAAGAAAGTTAGGCATTTAAAATCTTGTCTGTTGGTTTTAAAATGTTTGTAAAGAGCAGATGCTACCTGACTTACTACTGATTCTTTTTTTTTTTTTTTAAATAATCATTTTATTAGGGGCTCATACAACTCATCACAATCCGTACATACGTCATTTGTGTCCAGCACATTAGTACATATGTTGACTTCATCATTCTCACAACACCCGCTTTCCACTTGAGCCCTTGGTGTCAGCTCCTCCTTTTCCCCCCTCCCTCGCCGCTCCCCCCTCCCCCTGACCCCTTGATAATTTATAAATTATTATTGTTTTATCATATCTTACCCCATCCAACGTCTCCCTCACCCACTTCTCCGCTGATTCTTACATAAAATACTGTTGCTTGGATTTAATTTTACTATCCCTGGTGGCATACACAGTAGGCTACAAGTTGGACTACTATCCACCAGTTTAACTGTTCAAACCCACCCGTCACTCTGCAGAGGAAAGTGAGGCTTTCTGCTCCTGTAAAGATTTACAGCCTGAGAAATCCAGGAGATCAGGCTAGAGTCCCAAGATCACCAGTCAGAAGACAGGTCATTGGTAACTCCCAGAATCAATATGGCTGGCTGTTGGTTCAAATTAAAAGAACTGCTGGTCAGTGAGGCAGATTCAGGATCCAGACCCAGCAGTCCACTTACATGGTAAGCAGGCCACACCCATATGGAAACTTTTAATTGATTGCATCAGTGCCTTGACCTGAATAAGGGTGTGGCTTCCCACTGGGATCTTCTTACTATGGATTAGCTGCTCCTAGCAGATCCCATTAAGGAGTCGATGACGCGGTGCTAGGCCACATCATCAAGGGATTGTTAGAGCCTAACTGCCAAACCACTGAGAATCCTGGCCCAACCAAGTTGATACAAAACCTATTGTACCGCTTTTCTTCTGTATTTATTCATTGGAATTATTCTGTAGGGAAGATTTGTTTTTTTCTCACTGATTAATATACTTGTATCACTGTAGGCTTGAAGATACTCACTTTGTTCTTTTATTATTATAATCCAGTGTTATCATCACGTGTTAGGTTGTTCAGATTGTTCTAACTTTGGCCATTGAGAGCTAAGTTAGCTTCTGTGTGGTGTCTTTTTGGCATGTTCACCAGTGCCCAAAGGCCAGCAGTGTTGTTCTCCCCCAAATGAATGCATTTCCGGAAGAGAGAGGATCCCAGTGGGGTTTCCTCACCCTACTCAGCAGCTGTTCCCCTCTTTCAGGACTAAGCCACACCAATACATCCTAGGGCCCGGCAGTTCTTTCTGAGAGGGTCCGATGGTGGTTTTGTAGAAAAAGCCTGCAGGAGTGTGTGGACTCCCTTCAGTGTGCTCAATCCAGGCTGCGCACTGGCCTTCAGTACATTGCCACCTGTTCTCTATGTACTGTTATTGCTGTCCAGGTGCAGCTACGCCAGGTGAGGCTGTATTTGTCTCTCTTCTCACCCTGAGGCATCGTCAGTTGTTTAGTGCAGCCTCTGATGTGGTTGGGAAATCTTCATGAATCTTAGTTCCCTTTTGTATTAGAAGGAGTGGCACTCCCACCCGAGGCGGAAGCCAGCATCAGTATGCATAGTTTTAGGTTAATATAACTTATGTTAATGAAGACTAGAATAACCTGCACAAACATGAAGGCAACAGAAAACAGGCACACAGTATAGATAGACTGAAGGCTGAATAAGGGAGGGACAAATAAAATGTGTATAAGGGCACTTCAAAAAGTTCGTGGAAAAATGGAAATAAAATAAGTGATTTTTTTCATAGACTTTTTGAAGCGCCCCCTCATAGAGACAGAATTTGGTAAATGTAGGAGGAGTGTGTTGAAAAATATTTTGTCAACTTTTTCCTAAAAATGTCTCAAATCGGTTTCAGAATTTATATGCCACTTGTTTGCATTAATGCTTAGAGTCATAAAACCCTAATTCTGTACTGAAAGAGTTGATAGATCAATTTAATCTTCACACTATCCTCAGATCAATCCATTAGGAATATGCTTTTATTCTCCTTTGTTCTTAGAAATATGTAGATAGAAGTTTTTGAGAACCCATAGGGCACTCTCAAGCCAAAGATCGCTTTAAGATTTTTTGTATTTAAAGTTCATGTAAATTTTGCTGTCTACTTCAGTGTGCGTGCACGCACACACACTCACAGTTCTCTGCCACTGAGTCAATTCTTACTCTGAGTGACCATATGGATGGATAGAACTGACCCTGTGGGTTCCCAGGCTGTCAATCTTTATGAGAAGAGAAAGCCTCATCTTTCTCCTATGGAGTGGCTGGTGTATTTGAACCACTGACCTTGTGGCTAGCAGCCTAACTTTGGTCATTTTCAAAGAGATTTTCTCCAGTTCTAGATTGATGCACCGGGTTTTATATTGTCCATATTTCGTGAAAAATCCAACATTACATGCAAGGTTAGTTCTAGGGGTTTGGTTTTTTGTTTGTTTTTACCCGACACCCCACCCAACCCCCAAATCAGCTTGTATTGCCAAGAAATGGTTGCTTTATTTGAACTCAGACTGTATGGGAATGAAGACATTAATGAAATTATTTTATTTTCTGCAACCATTTGCGTTTCTAGACGTAATAGCTAAGGCATGCTTACAAAGTGCCAGGCACTATTTCAGGTGCTTTCCATATGTGCTTTTAATATATATAAACCCTTTGAGGTAGGTAATATTATCGTGTCCATTTATGTAGTCAGGCAAATAAAGTTCAGTAATTTGCCCATGGTCACTTAACTGGTACAACCAAAAAGAACCAAACTCCCTGCCATCAAGTCAGTGCAGATTCATAGCAACCCTGTAAGAACAGGGTAGAACTACCGCTGTGGGTTTCAAAGACTAACATACCGCAATACCTAACAGCAAGGTCAGCAGTTTGAAACCACCAGCCACTCTGCAGGAGGAAGATAGACTTTCCATTCTCGTAGAGAGTTACACTTCAGACGGGCTGCTGTGAGTTGGAATAAAAAACACAAACCTCTTTCAAGCCAGTATCTCCCAGAGACTAGGTCTGATGACTCTACTATTACCTACGGTGTTACACTGCCCATGTCCTAAATGAGTGATTGTCAATTGCTTCTTTTTTTTTTTTAAATCATTTTATTGGGGCTCGTACAACTCTTATCACTATCCATACATCCATCGTGTCAAACACATTTGTACATTTGTTGCCATCATCATTTTAAAAAACATTTTCTACTTGAGCCCTTGGTATCAGCTTCTCATTTTTCCCCTCCCTCCCTCCCTCATGAACCCTTAATAATTACAAATTATTATTGTTTTTTCATGCTTTGCACTGTCCGATGTCTCCTTTACCCCCTTGTCTGCTGTCCATCCCCTGTGAGGGGTTATAGGTAGGTCATTGTGATCAGTTCCACCTTTCTTCCCCCACCTTCCCCTTCCCCTCCTGGTATGGAAGCTTTCAGTATTGGTCCTGAGGGGCTTCTCATCAATTGCTGCTTTGTTCATTCTTCAAAAGGCTTATAACCACCTTCCTTTAAACTTCCATGTTCATTCAGTAATAAGTAACTGCTGCACGCCAGCCCCTGGCTAGTAGGTAAGGCCGTAAAAGATCAGGCATGTGGCATTGGAAAGTGTCAGGTGTGGCCCTTGCCTTAAAGTGAACTAAAGAAGAATTTACTAGTTTATACTTAGTGTGCTTTAAAAAAAAGTTTTTGAGATTTTTTAATGTTAGGTTTTGTAATGCTTTTCTTTTAATTACTTAGTGATACTATGACACAAATAATAAAAGGAATGTCTTTTTTTTAGTGTTTGATATGTTTGGGTTTTTTTAATCATTTGATTAGGGGCTCATACAACTCTTCACAATCCGTACATACATCATTTGTGTCCAGCACATTCGTACATATGTTGCCATCATCATTCTCATAACACCTGCTTTCTACTTGAGCCCTTGGTATCAGCTTCTCATTTTTTGCCCCTCCCTGCTCCCCGCTCCCCCTGAACCCTTGATAGTTTATAAATTATTATTATTTTATCATATCTTACACCATCCAGCGTTTCCCTTACCCACTTCTCCACTGTCCGTCCCCCAGGGAGGAGGTTATATGTAGACCTTGTAATCTGGTCCCCCTTTCTCCCTCAACTTCCCTTCACCTCCCGATATGCCACTCTCACCACTGGTCCTAAGGGGATTATCTGACCTGGATTCCCTGTGTTTCCAGTTCCTATCTGTGCCAGTGTACATCCTCCAGTCCAGCCTTTATAAAACAAATTAATTTTCTCAAATCTGGAGGCATGACGTTCAAATCAGGTTCTCGGCTGCGTGGATTCCTTCCTTCACAGGGTTCCCCAAGCAGCCGTCTCCGGCAATGTGAGCGCACCTCTGTATATCTGTAATCAGCTCTGTGTAAAATACCATTGATAAAGTGGCCCGGCTCGGGACACACTCCCCCTGGTTTGGTCATGTTGACATAAGATGAGGTTGCCTTATGGGAGGCCACTGCATTCAGATTACATCCACAGTGTAGCTGTGAGGATTCTAACACATATTGGACGAGGGGACAGGGGTGTGTGAGGCAATCCATAATAGTCCTAAAACAGTGCAATTGTGGATGCTTTTTATTTAAGAGGAACAGTGAACGGCATGATTTTAAAATATAATGTGAGTTTTGGGGTTTTGGGGGGGGCTTTTGTGTGCATGGGGTGGGGATTTTCTTTCAGTTAACCTTATATGGTGTCATATTTTTCTAATTATCATATGACAAATTCATTCAGCGTATCCTTTAAAATACCTAATGTGTAACATGTAAAAAATATTTGATGCTTTGAGTTCATTTTCAAAAAGAAAAAATAGTTCCAAGTCCAAAATAAATGATGAGTGGTGATAGTTTCTGTCCTTTTTGTGTTTGTAGGGAAGCAGCCCGAGAGTGTCGTAGAAAGAAGAAAGAATATGTGAAATGTTTAGAAAACAGAGTGGCAGTGCTGGAAAACCAAAACAAGACACTGATTGAGGAGCTCAAAGCACTTAAGGACCTTTACTGCCACAAATCAGATTAATTTGGGATTTATTTCACCACTTGAGGTAGAAAAAGGACTGGCCTGGCCACACCAGAAAGACAAGAATAAACATTTTATTTTCTAAACATTTCTTTTTTTTCTATGCGCAAAACTGCCTGGAAACAACTACAGAATTTCATTCATTTGTGCTTTTGCATTAAACTGTGAATGTCTCAACACCTGCCTCCACTTCTCCCTGAAGAAATTTTCAGCACCAGGAATCATGAAGAGACTTGAGCTTTTCAAGCCCCACCCTCAAGAAGTAATCATTTGTTTACTGACAAATTGATGGGGGGGAATGCCGAAAAGAAACTCTTTTTTAAAGTTATTCCAAGGTTTGTGCTGAGCTCCTTGATTGCCTTAGGGACAGAATTATCCAGCCTCTTGAGCTGAATGCGTGGGCCTCGTGCATAAAGTAAGTAAGGTGCAATGAAGAAGTGTTGGTTGCCAATTGACATGTTTTTTCACCTTTTCATGGTGGATTATGTAAAATTGTTACCCAAAAATGCCCTCTAAAAAATTATTTCAGTATGGTGTTGAAGAAATAAGAAATGAATTTGGAGTATTTTCTGTGTACTCTCTTTTCTCAATGCTGAAAACTTGTCCTTGGTCCTTAAAAATATTCTGTACTAACGACAGCTCTTCCACAGGTCAGTTGTTGCTTCTTAATTCAGTCCTGTATGTGTTCTCCATTTTGAATGCATTAAAAGAAGTGACCAACTGAATGCACAAGCATGATTATTTGAATTTTAAATTAAATCAAAGGACATTAAAATACAAAACTTTTGTCTTAAGTTAGTACTAAACTTCTATAAAAAGATGCTCACTAGCTGACCTCTTGAGTAATATAACATGGCTTTTAAATAAATGTTTTGTCCTCACCATCAAACATATTTACATTGTCACTCATTTACTTAAAAAAGCATTTCTGGCTATACTGTCCCCCTTGCACTTAGGTTGTACCACTGCCAGGAAAGCCTTCATGTTATCAGATGAAGCCACGTGATATATTTGCTGATGAAATGTTAGGATTTGTAGGAAAATACTGATTTTAAATCTTTTTCACATTAGCATATTTTAACAGTATCTCGAATGAATTTTTTAATGAAAAGTTATAAGGAGTTGTAAAAAGTAGATTGTTTAGATAAGCTGCACGAGGAAATTAACTTCAGACACATTTAATGGCTTCCATACTATAATATCTGGATTGTCAATCACATAAAACTTACTTTGTTTCCCTGCAAAGGGTAGTTGAGCTTCAGCTTTCCAGTGTGCGCTGTAACCTGTCATGGCTGCCGATTTTAACTCTGAGTATTACAGTCTATGTTTGTGTGTATCATACATTCTTTCCAATACCACAATTGACTGTTCGTTTTCTTCACTAAGCCTGATGAATCGAAAATTTACCCTTTAAAAGAGATATACTAAGGTAGATTTTTTTTAAATTGGAAATTGACAAAATGTTGGATTACAGGATTTCATTTGAGAAGGGAATTCATTTAAAAAGAGTCAAGAGACCTGGAAAATGAATATTGTTGGTATGCGTTTAAAGTTTAAAAGTTACGTTTATTAACATGATAGAAAAATGCGCATGCAGATGTGAGAATTATTGAGTCCATTTTGAAAAGTAAGAATTTTTAATTCTATAAATGATATATTTTTGTTTGTAACAAACCATTGTCTTTTTTCAAGGGTGAACAAAGTTTATGAAGGAGCATCATTCTAAGAATTAAGTGATGTAGTCTTTATATTTGGACAATTTCACCAGATTCTCAAGAAGGCTTTCAAACAACTGTAAAGTTTGATGTTTATCCTGCTGAGTTAATGGGGAAAGTCGTAGCATAAAAATTGTTTGTATACCAGCACAGATACCAAGTGAAATCACGAACATGTTCACAAACTAGAATTCTCTCGTACTGAATCAAAGTGTGTCCAATTGAACATCTTGAATGTCATGACCTTTACAAATGAAAATTGCCTGATGGTTAGCACGTTTTATGCTCTACAGTTGTGTGTTCTTTCAAGACAATGAACCTTTCTATTAGAAAACGAAGTGGTTGTGGTCTTCATGCCTGATAAGCCGAGCTTGAATGGCCTAGGCCTTGCATCTGAGGAAGATTACACTGGTGTGAAATCAGTTCATGGTGAGGTGAGAAATGCATTCGGTTGCTAACCCTGTTGTAGACTCTTGAATAGACATGAAGATTTCAGTTTGTACAAATAAAAATCAAGCATCTTTTTGTGCAGATTTTTAAAAAAAGAATTGGAAAAAGGTGTTTGTTTTTTAAGCATGCAACTTTGAGAAGCTTTATTAAGAAAATAACAAAATTTTTATTAAAAAAATCTTGTCGCCAAGAACATGCGTGGCCACGTTACCAATAATAAATGTTTTTTCTTCATATTGGCCAAAAGGGAATTGAGAATGTCCTCATAGGAATCTGTAAATATGCTACTGATTTGCTCTAGAAAATAGCAAGTTTGGTACTCACCTTACAAATACAGGGCCGTGTGGCACTTTTATCTTTAGGACAGATTAATAAAAACAAAGGGGGAAGGGGTTTATTTTTGATATATTACTCTTTTGTGTTTTCAAGTTTTGATAGTGTTTTACTGAAAAGTGGTTTTAGAAAGGGCTAGATCCAATGTGTTCACATTATTAAAAAAATTGATATCGAATACATTTAAGTTTTACAACTCCAGCCCCATACCGACAAGCATACTATTGCCCTGGGTGCTCTTTTCATGGAGAGCTTTGGGGGAGGGTGCCGTTTGTATAGTGTGTGTGCAGATAGATCATTTACACAGGATATGACCTGGAGCTCTGAGCACGGGCGGGCGTCGGGAATGCCGAGTAGGACAGGATATGGCGCTCAGGTGGAGTCTTACGCTTCCTGTGCTCTACCGCATCCCTCTTGGTAGTCTCCCAGACGGTGTTCCTTCAGCACTCAAGATTGACTACGCTTTGTTTTGTTGTTTAAGGGTTGTTTCTTTGGCTTGCCACTTTTTAATGTTTTGAGTCACTTAACAACTTCCCCTCTCCAAAAGTACTCGGTTTTTATGCTTTGTCTCTGGCAGCTAAAACAGTGGTGAGACCATTTTGAAAGATGACTTTTCAAAGTAACCACTGAATTTGGAGAGGGGGTAGATTTGGGTGTTTCATTTGAGCAGGGATTTTGTCAGAAGATGTGTTTTGATCGGAGGTCAGAAACAGTGCTAGTATCGGAAAGCACAGTACCAGTCCGACAGGCTGTGCGATCAGACATCATCTGGCCAAAGTTTATCTGTGCCTCTCAGGCCTCCTCCCCACTGTCTTTTTGACCGTTTGGGGTGACACATGGAATCGTACAAAGGCTTAGGAAGGAACAAGTTTGTCTAAACCAGGATGCTTTCCTTACCGTAACTTGAATTGATTTTGATCTAGATTTCTGTTCAGGTTTGTTTTTAATTTTGTGATCAGTTTACAGTCAACTACTAGAATAAATTGGTCTCTTTTTATTTGGCATATCAAAAGCCTGCATCATTTTTCCAGAGCGAAATAAGACTAAGACCTTGAAGTTAAGATTTCTAACTCAAGCAGTGGCGTCACAGACAGTCCACACACCGGTCAGTTACTTTGAAGAGGCTTTATTCCATTGCATCTGTAGCCCTGAAAATTGTTGGTATATTGTTTCACATTGACCTAATACAAAAGTTATCTATTTATTTGGATTATATTTACATTATTTCTTTGTAAATGTTTGGTGTAACTTGCACTTTTTAAAATGACCCATGTGGGTATTAGCAACTTGAGAAATTCCCTCTGCAAGGAATTGTCAACAGACTTTCCTGTCTTCTCCTGTCAAATCATGTCACTTTCTTAAATGACTCTTTTCATTGATCCAAGTTATTTCGGGTCTGAAGGCCAGCCTTAAAAATAATTGTTTAAAAGGAAGAGGTGTAGAGAAGTAAGTTTGACTAATCCAATGAACTAGTTAGATCCGTGGTTCTCAACCTTCCTAATGCCGCCACCCTTTAATTCAGTTCCTCATGTTGTGGTGACACCCCCCCCCCAACCATAAATTTATTTTCGTTGTTACTTCATAACTATAATTTTGCTACTGTTATGAATCGGGTGACCTCTGTGAAAGGGTTGTCCGACACGCACCCCCCCAAAGGGGTCACGACCCACAGGTTGAGAACTGCTGAGTCAGATGGACTCAAACCCTAGTTTATTCTTTTTCATCATGGGTAAAGATAGAAGGAAAAGTAGCTCACATGAGTAATACTTCTTTCCACTTTTAAATTAAGTTTTTAATTCTTGCCCTGACTGTAGGCTAGGATACCAAAGGAGTCCTGGTGACCTAATGGGCTAGGAGACAGGGCTGCTAGCCAGGAAGGTTGGCCATTTCACCCACCAGTTGCTCCTTGGGAAGAAGATGGAGCAGTGTGCTTCCATGATGATTGACAGTCTTGGAGACCCAGTGGGACTGTTCCACTCTGTCCTGTAGGGTTGCTATGAGTCAAAATTAACTTGCTGGTAGTAGGTTTGGGTAGGTACAGGATACCAAAATACCCATGATTTTGTCCAGAACAGAGAAATACGTGTAAAGCAATTATCATCATCATGGAAACCACATGCTATAAACATCTGCTGAAATTTCGTTTTCCATTTGCTTTGTTAACGACAAAGAAATGCTACCTAAATTAAACTGATTTCAGATGACGGGAGAAGTGAAGTGTGCTAGTGAGCCTGCAGGTGAAGGATTGTGGGTAAATTGTTCACTTGGTTAGGCAAAGCACAAGAGTACTTTTCAGTGGTGGCTTGGCTTTATCGTGAATACTTCTAATGGGTGATGGTGACTTTGTAAACTGACGGCACAGTCACTGTGTGTACTAAGAACTGGTTTCCTTGACTCTAGAATCAACAGTGAGGAGACGCATTAATCCTGAGGGGTTGAACATATCCTGAAGCTGAGCCAGTATGGAAGAATTTCAAATAAATCAAACAGGGTGCTGAAGTTCCATCTGTCTCAGCTGCTTGTGATGAGTCCTTATTGATTAGTGAATGTAGCCTAAGCCTTCGTATGTGTCCTCAGGGGCAGACAAACTTTAAGAGGGACCAGATAATGTTTGAGTGGAGGGGGTTATATTTCAGGTGTTTTAGCTTGAAATTTATTTTTTAAAAAAAGATTTAAAAAAGAATTATAAAAAAAAGAAAGAAAGCCTGTGACGCAAGTTGATAATTATGAACAGGCAGCGTTGTTTAGCACAGAGAGAAAATATTGACCTGTCTGCTTTCTGGTACTGTGAGTGCAGGTCCTAGCTGGAGTGTAACATGATACACTTTGAATTATTCTCACCAGCAAGTAGAAGGAAAATGAACAGTCATCTGGAAATGCCTTTCAGAAAGGATAGGAAATGCAAATTTTACCGGCTCTGCACAGGCATTCTTCAGAACGATGGCACTTCCAGGCGTCCGGTCATCTGACAAGCATGGGAGAGGTGTGAGAGTAAATGTGAGTGAGTTTAAAAATGGATAGGGAAGGAGAAAAATCCCTGAACTTAATGATCTTAATTGGCCAGGTGAAATGATCAATCATCTTTGGAAGGTTTTTATTTTCTTATGTTTTTAAAATTGAATTGGTAAATGGTTTATAGATGTTGTATTTTCTATCCAAGTGCCACTCCAATTTGTGTATGTAATAAAGTTATTTATAATAAAAGTGGGAAATAATTTGTCAACATTTTTCTGTGAGTACAGGTATTTCTTAGGGGTGGCCAAGTGCAAGTCAGCAGTTTTCCATGTAAAGTTGTTCCTGCCTGATTGTCCACATGTCCGTTGTCAACCAACCCCAAATTCCCCACCAAAAAAAGGGATTATTTCTAACCCGAATGTATCACCTAAAGCTTTTTAGAAACAATAATCAGGGAAGTTTCTAGAGAGAACAATGTTTGGTTGGGGGTTCCTGAGGGTTGAGGTAAAGAACACCTCCCACCAGAACTATCAGCACAAAACAGGGTATTGGCTTCGACTGATGTTTCTGTTGGAGTTGAATAATAAATAACCATGATGAGGGAAATACGTTTCTAATAAAGTTTCCTACATTCTAGAAACATCCCTGTTTTAATTTTTTTATCTAAATCTTTTTGTGCTTTATCTGTGTAAAGAGAAAAAAATGTACTGAGTTATAATGCATTTTATTAACACTATGTACATATTAGCTGCTTTGTGTTCAGAATGGTAGCAATTGCTTTGTATATTAAAGTGATCCTTGTGGATTTGTGAAATATTGTCATAAAGTGCTTTTTCTTACTGTAATCTTTGTGGTATCAACTGTCGTAAAGCCCTTTTTACACATTTATGTGCAGTCACATAAACATGCTTTTAAAAACTCTGTAAGTCTCTTTTTTGGGGATGGGATCTCTTTTCATGTTTGATACTGTGAAGCTGTATTTTCTTGGTCTTACTGTAAAATGGGTAAAAGTTCTTTTATAGCACAAGTTGTATTAGTGCACGGCCAAAAACTAAACAAGAACAAATCTTCATTTACTTCATTCTTCTGTGAAACTTAGCACGGTACTCTTCCCCCACACCGAGTAAAAAGTAATGGTGCCGGTTTGAAGGCTTGGTGGTGCTGCTGCCCATTATCTAGAGCCAGTAGTCAGGGAGTTGCATGAGCAGCTGTCTCCGTGCCATAGAATGCATGTCTGCATTTTGAGTGCATACTTCTAGGTCCCTTGCGATGCTAAGATCTGTGCCTGTCATGAAGTAGAAGGGAAGCGGAACGTTAGGACTGGTCTCTGCTTACGGCACACGAATAAAAGAGCCCGTGTACCTGATGCACCTGCTGAAAGTAAGCAGTCGCATCTGTTATGTGGATTCTTGTAAATTGCCAGGATGTGTTTTTTAATGTGGCTCAACATGTCCTTACATTGTAAGAATTGTATTTTTTTTTTTTTTGGTCTGCCCTTCTACAAAGAATGACCACATAACTTCTTGTGTAACTCGAGTTGCTTCTAACAGTCAAAACAAAACCTACTGCCATCAAGTCCAGACAGCTCCAAAAGCAGGGTATAAAATCACGTGGCCATCACAGGCGTAAACCCGGATAACCCTGAGCAAATCCAGACTTCAGGTCAACCTTCAGAAGCCTGGCCCTGCAGTGAAAGTGTGGAGTGCTGCTCTTTTCACCGTACCCTTTGCCCAAGTGATTTCATTCACACCTTTGTTATCACTGCCTCGTTTCACAAACATTCCGGCTACATATTTACAGGCATTGAAAGTTAGAAAGATGCTAGACGTCACATCTAAAGAATTACAACAGTTACACAATTTCAGGCCTGACCTCTCTGGGAGCTGAACAATATGCCATTGTATCTTCCGGGTACCTACTTAGCACACACCCTGCTACGGGTTGACAGCCCACCCAGAGGCGCCATGGAAAAAACATCCTGATGATCTGTAAAGGTCACTGCCAAGATCACCACCAGTCAGGATCAACTCGATTGTAGTGGGTTTGGTGGCTTTTGTTTCTAATGTCTGTGCCACAATTTCAGCAGTACCCATTGATGGACATTTGGGTTGGTTCTGCTTTGGGCTGTTGTGAATAGTGCACCTTGAGCATTCTTAAAGATTTCTTGAGTACGTTTTCTTCTGGGTAAACACACAGGAGTGGAATTGCGGCGTGCCCCAGTAACCCTAAGCCTAACTTTGTGGAAGCGCCCAACTTCTTCCACAGAGATCACCCCATTCTACGGACACTCCGTCAGCAGTACATACGGGTTCCAGTTTCCCCCAAATCCTTGCCAAAATGTGATTTTTAGGCCATTTGTTTTTTAGCCTTCCTAGTGGGAATGAAGTGGGATATCTTGGTTTTGATTTATATCTCGCGGATGGCAGGCGACGTGTTTTCATGTGGTTTCTGAAGATTCAGTTCACTGTCAGCAGCTTGTCTTTTTAATCAGTTTGGGTAAAGTATTCACGAGCAAAACAAGTTTTTGAGATGCCTTTTAATTTTGTCTTGCTGTTTGTGCTTTTATTTGGTCATTGTGGGATGGCCTAAGAGCATTGCTCCCGCTAGTTCAAAGAATTTTGGTTTGTTTTTTGTTGTTTAATTCGTGTATCTAATAAAAGCTACACTGTACAAAAGAGCAAACCGTATAAAGCCGTTTTTGTGTGTGTTCTTGTAGGCATAATCTGTACATATACATACAAATGGATAGCCTTACCTTCTACCCTGGTGTACAAATATGAACAGTCCCGTATTTTACTCTTTTCATGGATTGTGCTGTGGAGAGCAGCCCGTCGCAGGTAATGCAGAGCGGCCCCAGCCCCTTTCTAACAACTTCCATGGCGCTGAGTGTTGCACGTGTACATGCATTTGTGTAGCTGAATCCTGGATGGCTATACGAGCTGGTTTATCTAAGGAGAACTTGAAATATCTTAAGTATGGTTGTCTTCATGTTTGGCACTTGTTTCCAAAGTATTAAGAATCTACTGAATTTTTAAAAAATCAATTTGCTGTAAGTTTTTATGTTGTACTTAAGTTACACTTTTTAAAGGAAGAACATTTATAGGGTCGTTCTTGCCCAAGATGTTGCGGAGAGGCCCGCCTTGTTCTCTTTTACTTCACTTTCCCTTCTTGTTCCCCTCAGAACCACTTCTCGACCCAGAAAGGAAATTTCAACCCTTCCCTGACTGGAGAGGAAAAAACCAAACCCACCACCGTGGAGTGATTGCCAGTCGCCGATCCTGTAGACAGGGTAGAGGGAGCTGACAGCCGGACCTGTAACCTGCCACGCCATGCCACGCACAGCGATTTCAGAACCGAGACCGATCCTCTGGGGAGTTCATCAAGTTGAGGTTGGAAGTGAAAGTGAAAGGCTTGGTGCAATGGCTTGTGTAGCTGCTAAACCCTTTGGGCGGGTGGTTCTGCCCTCCTGAGGTTGCTGATAGGGAATTGACTTGACACAGGCAGCTGCTCTTCAGCCCTGCCGCTCCTGTCAGCGCCAAGAGCAGCCTCTAGTTTCCAGGAATAGGGGCTCCGTGTTGGAGGCAGTCACTTGCCTCATTCACGTTAAAGAACGGGAAGGTGTTGCGTCTGTGTCACTAACTGTTAAGTCTAGGCCACTCGTCAATACTAGATATGTTAATATGGTGATTCTTTTTTAAGAACTTCAGAATTGATAGAAAATGTGTGTACCCTTGAGCTAAAAGCAAAGATTAAATGAAATTGGTTGTTGGAGGTAAAACTTTTAAGTTCATGGTAACTAGGTTGTTGGTTGTTGAGTATGCACTGATATTTTAATATTCCTGAGAGTTTATCTCGGGTGGCACAGTAGTTAAGTACTCAGCTGCTAACCTAAAGGTTGGTGGTTCAAATCCTCCAGCTGCCCCACAGAAGGAAGACCGGGCAGTCCGCTTCTGTAAAGATTCAGGACACGGAAGCTCTGTGAGACAGTTCTTCTCCGTCCCACAGGGTCATTGTGAGTCTGAGTCAACTAGACAGCAACAGGAGTTGGGGGTGTTGTGTAACAGCAGGGAACAACTCAGGCCACAGAGAAAGCATAAAAACTGCGATGTAGCTAGTCAGTAAAGGAATCTATTTTCACGAGTAAATACTTGAGTCGTTCCCTTTATGAACAGGACACCATGTTAACCTGCATTAACTGCCATCCGTAAATTGTATTGGAAGAATAAAATACTGCCACCAGTGTTGTGACTTCACTCATTCCACAGCCTCCACGTAACCTCGTCTTAAAGAATTTGATCATTAAAAATTAACTTTTAAAACTATCTGGAATCTAAACTTGGAAACGTTTCCAAGGACAGTATTAGCAGCTCAGATACAGTCTTTGAAATTACAAAATCACTTACTCAAATTCTAAGCCTTTTAACATGAGCTAGTCTCCCTTTTTTGCCAATTAACTGATCCACTAATTAAAACCCATCAAACTTCATCAATCCATAGAACTCTGGCAGAATAGCAAAGAAACCTCCTGCTCATTAAGTACAATGCTAGTACAGCCATGATGGACTTGGTAGCCGATTTTATTTGCCTCTGTCTTTTAAATCTGATGTTTTTTCTACTTTTCAGAACAGTTCTGTCCAATGACCGAGGGACAGTGGCCTCATAAGGCACAGCCGCAGTGCTGTGAACTCCTTGCCCACCTCCAGCCCCGTTCCTCCCTCTCAGCGCTTCTTCCTCTCCTGAGGTGCTGACCCCGGCGCCTGCTCGTTTAAACGTTCTGCCCCTGACCGTTCATGAGTCTATTTCATGCAAGGCACTAACTAAAGACAATATGCTAATGCCAAGAAAATCACTTGACTTTTGCTTATATTACCAAAGGATTCTTGATTCTTACTGTCCTGTGAAAGTGTGAAACCACCCTGGTTTTCCCCCTTCGGTAGAGCATCCAGACTTCTCCCTCTCCACATGTGTATTTTAATACGTCTCCAAGGCTGAGGTCTTAAGAGGAATTCAAATCCAACCCGTATTTTCATTGCTGATGGCACATCAGGGGGTATAGCTGTGCATTACAGTGGTGGGCCTCTAGTTGCATTTGTTTTAAAACCTCTTCTGTGTTCTCGGACCAGCAGTGCCATCTGGCTCTGGCTCTTTCCATTTCAGTACATTTATCAGAATTGTGTGGAGCTTGTATGTCACAGGATACTACTCACTGTCTTAATTCCACTTCATTAAGGCTTCTATTTAGAATATTAAAACTTTATTTAAAATCCAACCTAAACAAGGCTTAAGGCATATTTACAATAAGGTTTATGTGTGTGACATCATGAAGTCGATCTAATCACACACACACACACACACACGATAATGAGGTAATCATTAACCTGAAGAGCAGCGCCCTCTACATGGAATATGCTCATTCAACAAGCATTTGGATGGTCATTATAAGCTAGATCCTGGGGAGGCAATGATGAAAGGAAAGGAGCATCCCCTGCCCTCAGGAAGCATAGTGTCTACTGGAGAACAGACAGTGGATCATTTTAAGTGTGATAAGGAAGCTGCCTACAGTTGGCTGTAAGCCTTATAGTATAAGGTATCGTCGCATTGAAGTGTGAGATCTGCAACTGTTTTGCATTTTCATTCTATGCAGTATAAGGAGAGGGGGAGAGCCTAGCAAAGAAATACAGAAAACATTTGAAGTGCAGCACGGAAGTTGAAACCACAGCTTTTAATTTGAAGAAGATAGTCTACTAGCGCCTCTCAAAACACGCTGCCACGGGTCGATTCCGACCCACAGCGACCCTACAGAACAGGGTAGAACCCCCTGTGAGTGTCCAAGATAGTAACTCTTTATAGTAGAATGCTCATCCTCCTCCTGGGGAGTAGCTGGTGGCTTTAAACTGCTGGCTTTGCCGTTAGCAGCCTAGCACATAACTTCTAACAGACAGGCTGCCAATTTTGAGGTGCCTTTCAAAAAGTAAACGCATTTATTTTTCATTGATTCTTTTCTTTACACAATTCAATCTGAAATTAAGCCATGAAACATTGAGACTGGAGAAATCACATCCTAGTTTTAAACAAATAAAGGTATGTAAGGCCTCCATAAGGCAGCCATTTCAGTTATATGAAAACAGCCCAAGAGATGCATATTAGGCCTCTCTTTTTATATTTGAAAATGAGAAGACCAGGTTCAACATTACAGACCGCCTTAATTTACATGAGCTAGCCGCAGAGGAACCCCACTGGTCTGAAGACCCCGTAATGGCAGCTCCTTCTCCCGGCAGCGGTGGAAGCCACTTAACAAGAGGGAGCAGCCTAGAACATGGAACCAGCATAGCCCACACCTCACCCTTCCCTTTAATGCTCACGGACTTTCCAAGGGAGACAAATGGACTCACAGCCATGGGACAGAGGTCCGTTTGTTGCAAAGGTGTGGGGATGCCTTGTCCCTTGAGAACTTTTGATTCAAATGTTCATAGAGCAAGCCACTTCCAATTTCCAGTCTCAGACCTTCCTTGGCACCCTCACCGGCAAGCACCTTGGAGAGCACAGTCAACTACAAGTCCTCCCTCTTGTGTCTCCTCTGGGCCTTGTAAATATGTACATCTTTTACGGGGTCATAGTGCACCTTGCTCACGTTAAATTCTCTCCCCAGCATCGCTAAGAAGTTGTTATCCCGCTCGTAACGGATTCGGCAAGCGAGCAGAATCAGGGAATGGTCACCACAGAGATGGCCCAGTGTTTGAAGAAGGTCCGCAAACGTTTCTTCTAAATATATGATATCAGCTCCAAGGATCAGGTCGAACTCTCCAGGGGGGAAACTCTCCAAATTTTGTCCCCACGTCAGCTCCTTCACAACAGCTCGGGGTTGGATCTGGGGCGGTAAGTTGGCTTGGACATTAGATTTCAGGAATTCCAGTGCTGCTTTCCGATCTGTGATCGTCACGTGGGCACCTAGAATGTGCACAAAGACAAGAAAGCATGTGCCCATCAGCAGAACTCTCATCATACAGATAAGCAGGGCCGAGTAGGCGG